AGCTCCTACACTTCATGTATCACTCTTGCTTGACAACGGTACAAGAATCTGTATCGAAACGTCCCACTCACGAAATAAAGAAGTTGTTATCCATAAAACTTGTTCTATATTAAACTAAACTAAACTAAAGTGTGAAAAAAAATTACTTTTATGCTTGTTACACCACTGACATATTTTTTTCCAGTGCATAGTTAAAAAGGTTTATTTTAAAAACATTTTATTACTTTCCTGTGTGCAATTTATGATGACTGCATGTTTTAATGTGTTGACCATTCAAAAACATAAACATTTAATTCAGTACAACCCTTTGTATTTTCTTAATTTCCATAACGTGAATTTGACCGTTTTTTTAGATTCACCCATATACGTCTGTTTTCAACCGGGCCACTTCATAACAGTGTGGAACTCACCAAATAGCCAACTTCTGGCTAGGCAGCAGGTGCATTAAAACAGTAGCATGTGCATCTATACACAACAACCCGAACACTAACCTGCTCCAAGTCAAATGGGTCTTACAACGTCAATCGCCTAAAGCTATTTCAACGAACAGAATCTATGGTGTGTTTATTGTGTACATAGAACTCTCGGTTAATGTGGTATAACATAAATTCATAAAACCAAATAATTAATTACATCTGAAATATGTAAGGGTTTGGCTATAACACTATTGTACAGAGACTATTCATCATGTCAAAAGTACCACACGAAAAGGTTAATTTTCATGAAAACTTGCCCTTTAAACAATTGCTTAGCATGGCTTCACATACATAGGTAGGTGGTATGTTTTTTCTGGTGTAGGTTAGTCACGTACCTGTCAAAAAAAGCTGGCTGTCACAACGCCACGGCTACCACAAGTTCAATCACAATACAGTCATCCCTTGCAATAACGCGGGTCTCGGGGTCCACGGACGACCCCTCGCGTTATCAGAAACCCGCTAACGTGGAATGTAGACCGCCGGGTGAAAGACTTATAAACATGTGCGTGTGTATACACAAAACTTATGTCTATCTCTGAATGGTTACAAAACTAGCGAAACTACGAAAATAAATTTGTACCCAAGTATTTGTATGTTTCCGTTTAGTAAGATTGATCTTTAAAATGCAAATATGGTAAGATATGGTAAGTGTTACACTGCTTGTTTCACTATCAAACTCGCCGACTGACTGTTCAGCCATTTTTCTAAATGATGCAATGTCACGCATTACCCCAATAAAGAGTTCACTGTAGGTTTGCTTCCATAATGTAACAGTATGGGTGTTATTTATTGTTTAGATATTTATTTACATGCCGGATAGATGTAAATAAGGACTTATTCTTTTCAAATGCCGATGTCAACTCACCTACATAAACACATGGAGAGGCGGCAACATGCGAGCTACTTAGCCAATCAAATAAATTGTACCAGTTTGTTTACAAAAAGGGAGGCAGTGATTGGATGATCGCTTTAAAATCCGGAGAAAGTCCGCCTTGTCACAAGAATGAAGAGAAACACGAGGTGAGCTTTAAAGAACACTGCATTTGTTTAATGACATGAATGTGTATAATAAAAAATACAAATATTGATCAAAGTATATATACATGTATTTACATGTTTATAGTCCTGCATAAAACAAGGCAGAAAGTGTTCAAGACAGATAATTAACAATTCAATCTTTATGAGTGCTTTAAGATACTGCTTTTTCTGGGTTTCACGACATTTTGCGCCTCTCACATCGTCTATACATATCAAGCCTCTTTGAAAAAGTCACATAAGCTTTTTTGCGTTTTCACATTTTGTGCCTGTCCTTTCAGTTTTTCAACAATGTTCTGCATTTGCATAACAGACAGTTCAGAAAAGTCAGCTGATCATTCCATATGTTTGAAAACAATATTGGCACAAGATAAAACCTCTGAAACTGTTGTACCACATTCGTTTTCTGGTTTGATGCCATCGTTATCATCTTCCACTTCTGTATGTGCTGATGTCATGGCATCCTCAACTATTTCTTCGTCCCCCAGGCTTCCAAACACAGGAAGATCATCGTCAATTGCGTTGTACAATTCCACAGTTTCGGGGCTGGTGATGAGGGGGTTCTCTGCTGCATATGCTTCATACTTCCAGAGTGCATCAGTCACGTCTTCTGGGTTAAATCCAAGGAAGTTGTCGTCGTCAGTGATGGCGAAAGCTTCACTGAGATCCTTGTTCCAACATTTTTCGATAGTTTGCTGTGGTACGCTTTGCCATGCCATGAGGGAGGTAGTGATTGCATCTATGACTGTGACTGTCCTTAGGAAATCTACGGGAGTGAGTCCCGATTCAATGGCTCTATTCACAAGTCCTCTTCGGTAGTGAGACTTGTAAGCTTGGATAATGCCTTGATCCATCGGTTGGAGGAGAGAGGTGGTGTTCTTTGGGAGAAGCACTGCTCTAATCTTCCTGTCATGCGATATCAACGTGGTCGTAGGCGGGTGGGCGGGGCAGTTGTCCATCAGCAGTATCGCCTTTTCCTCAAGTCTTAACGATTGTAGATATTGTCTGACTGCAGGAATAAACTTATGGAAAAACCATTCTTGAAAGATAGCGGCTGTCATCCAGGCATTCTTGGAGGCGGCGTAGACAGCCGGTAAGATTGATCGGTTGACATGGTGGAGACAGCGTGGATTCTGCGACGTTCCTATGATGAGGGGCTTCAGCTTATGCTTTCCCGTTTTATTACTTGTCAGCAAAACTGTGACGCATTGTTTGGCCTTCTTGAACCCAGCTGGGCGTTTTTCTTCTGGCGTGGATAAGGTCCTGTCCGGCAACATCTTATAGTATAGCCCAGTTTCGTCAAAGTTATATATTTGATCCGGCTCAAGGCCTTCGGACTCGATCAGCTGCCGTAGTTCAGTCGGGTAATTACTAGCTGCTTCAATCCCTGGATATTCCAGAAGGAGACATTGACACCACATAATAGTTTTGGGTAGTATGAAAAATCCTTGCAGTGTTCTTAGAACATAAGAAACGAATGGTATATGGAATATATGGAACAACTACATTATGTCACCTGTTTCATAGGATTCCAGCCAGGCACACACAGAGTGTGTTGATAATATCCTGCACTTGGTCACTATGAGATGGAGAGGGTGACCACCACATGGGGTTGATGGAAGAGTTCATTTGAGAGTTTGGTCCTGCCTGCGGGGAGACAGGCCATCGGGGTGGTATCTGTTGTGGGGGAGGTGGAGATGGTCTCAGCTGTCCGTTCCATGTGTGGGTTGATGTGGCATGTGGGGGCATCAACTGCCTCTGCCAGGGCTGTTGTACATCCTGGGGTTGCTGACACAATATGTTAGGGTTCACAGATCCTGACTGGTGGTGAAGATTGTTATTGTTGTCATTGGTTGGTGGCACAAGATGACTGGTATTTGGTCTGGGTAGTGATGACAGTGGTGGCACAAGATGACTGGTATTTGGTCTGGGTAGTGATGACAGTGGTAGCACAAGATGACTGGTATTTGGTCTGGGTAGTGATGACAGTGGTGGCACAAGATGACTGGTATTTGGTCTGGGCAGTGATGACAGTGGTGGAAAGTCAGCATAATCAGGCTGCTTAGGTTTTACTGGCAAAATGTTGTCCATAAGAGAGGTGACAAACAGATGAATTTAATGCTTGGTGGATGAACCTTGTCATGATACATGTTTTCCAAAGGAACCATCTCTGCTACATCCCTGGTGCTCTAGATTTGTCGATATGTAGAGTTGTAAAAGTACCTTCCGTCCCCATGAAGTTGGCACGTTTACACCAATGTCAAACAGTTTCTGTCGCAATTGTTAGACGGGGGAACTTCTGTTTGACCTCCGTCTCTCAATGCCGACATGACATCATTCGATAAGGTGACTGTTCAGAATAGTATAAAAATAACAGTATTTTCCCGCATTTATCAAAAGAAGAAAAGAAAATGTGAAAAAATAAATTTTAGAGGTTTTGATTTTGACTACCCTATGCATTAAACAGGTATAAGAGTAAACAATACAAGCAACATACCTCTACATTCAAACAATAATATCACAAAAATAATGGTCCACTAATGATGGTATCAAAATCACCTTGGTGAAGTGAGTGCAAACATGTTCGTTGGCACAGCAATAGGATAATCAGTTCTTTGTCAAAGGCAGTGAAGTTCAATTTGGCACAATAAATGAATTCAATTCTTTTGAACAGGAAAAAGAGCTCTTTTTTATTTAAACGATATTTATTGTTCAATAGAGCATGTGCATATAATATATTACAAAATGGAGTGGATTGGCAAACAAGCCTGTGGCTTATATCAATGCCTTTCCACAGTTCTGTTTGACTTAACAGAATGAACAATAGGTACTATGAACGGTCTTTGAAATATTTTGGCTTTCATAATTTGTTTAATAATCTTTATCATAAGATAACATTTTTGTTAGGGCTGAATACTGTTAGTTTACAAGTTGACCTCACAACAAGTAAATGAAACATCTATTCTTTACCAGACTGCTTGTTACGCAGTGGAAATTAAACTAAATTATCTATGGTGTGCAGTGGAAGTTAAACTAAACTACATAAATTTGGACTTACCTTTCAATCAACTAAATGTGAAATCCCCTTATAAACAACTAAACGTGAAATCCCCTTATAATCAACTAAACGTGAAATCCCCTTTTTAATGCAATAAGAAATGTGAAATAAGCTAATAAATAATGAAGTTTAAACTTAATATGAAGAAACTGTCTACCTAGCAAGTGTTAAATGTTAGTGAATAATTCTCTCAACTATCTCTGTTTGTATTTCTATTTTATCTGTACTTGCTAGCTATCACTTGGAGAGAGTTACCCACTAACAACTGTCACTAGCCTACAACTGAAAGTTTTTTTCTGTCTCATACGCGGTCGACCTTCGGGCAGAATCTCGTGCAGCATGAAAAGCTAATGTCCTTGTCACGCTTCAGGTGTATTTGTACTATCACGTACTGTGTCCGAGAACATCAGTTCTTTACGGACCCTTCAGAACACTGCTATTTGCAAATATAAAATATCTTAAATATATCTTTATCATAGAGGTATCACCTGTCCTTGCAGTGCATTTCCATTTGTCAAAAAATTTATCACAAGCACTTACTTCAGGAATGAAGCAACCCAGTTTTCAAGTGTAACAATACATCATTTTCAAAACGTGTGACATTGACTATGGTAATGCAGGTCTTTGACTTCAAACCCTTGCCCTTTTGCTTGGAAACAAGCTTCTCCAAATCACGGAACAGATGAATGCTTTTTCAGCATCAGTACCCTGAAGATTTGAAACAACAATTATTGAAATAAAAATGTCCAATTACATGGTAACCCGGTTTGAAATAATAACCATATCAAATCGATATTAATCAACTTACTAAGGTATCGCAGAGGGTTAGTGAAATTAGTTAGGTATTTTGAGAGTTAACCGTATCTAATTAGAAATATAATAAATTATCATATCGAATAGTATTGTCCATATGACAAGCAGCTTGTAACAAGAAATTGAAAATACATATACATCTAACGTGACTTCTGAAACCTCAGGTGCAGTTTTCTTAGATGACGGTCTGCATCACCCATTCCATATTTCTAGCAGTTTCTTCCTCGCTTCCTCTGGATCATCACTGTGTTGGCAAAAGACTTCATGCACCAACTGAAACAGTATTTTAGAATGTATTTAATGATTGAAAGGCAGAAAGATATGCAACAGAGCGTGCCTGCTTGTTCAATGTAAAACTAGAACAACCGTGACAATGAATCAACAGAGCGATAACACTGTTCAAGTAACGTTTTATACCTGGATTGTCTGGATTTGATAAATAAGGTCAAGGACAAATGTCCAAGGTATTTGTCTAGGCAAACTCAATTGGAAACAAAAATTGGATGTATAATAAGTGATAAAAAATGTTTCCCATGGGTATCATTCACATACATTGCAGGTAAAGAGTTTGGCAATGAAACAATAACTGAATGTGCGGAAAAAAAGACTTTAAAAAATACTTAGGGACTTGATAACTTTAGTAAGATAGAAAAAACTTCTTAGTTTTAGCATTGATTCAGATGTCTTAGATAAATGTACACAACTTACAGTATAAGTTTGCAATGCAGAGTTTTTGTAGATATTCAGTTTGGAGTTTGCATTGTGGTCGTTTCACAGAAGATTTGGACAGTGGTTCTGTAAAACTTATCAAATTCAATACTATCATATTTGTGTCTTAAAGCAAATTGTATAGTTTGGAAAATATTTTCTTCAAAATTGTATTTGTCATTAAAGTTCTTTGGGAAAATAAACGATCATTTCATTGGTTATTGCATTTACTTTTCTCAAGTAGATATACAGTCAACTCTCGTGTTAATCCGACACTTGTGGTTGCAGAGAAATATGTTGGATTAACGAAAATGTCGGAAAATATCAGAAATTGTAGATCTGGTTATCGTCTTCGTTTGTAAAAACATTCAGTAATAAAAAAAATATAACAATACATCCTTGATATCTTTTATTAACAATCATAGATGGCATAACATACATGTACATATAAAATCACATAATCAATCGGTTTCGTATCGATTTCAAAATCACATTGGCACAAAACTCACGTTTGTTTTTACCAGTCGTCGCTATTTCACTCTCAGCAGCCATTATGACCCGGATGTTGAATGAGTCACTGTTTTCATACGACTAGTTCCACAGTAACATATGTATGTCTGGTGAACAATAATTTAAAACTTGAAATAGTCTTTGAGGGTTTTTTGTTGTTCATTTTTTTTCTGCATTTTAGTTTTCAAAGTGTCGATGAAGTCAAGGTCACTCACATCAAACACGTCTAAGTTGTGTGTCACAAATGTCTGTAAAGTGTTCAACAATGTTTTGACCTCAGGTAGCTTGGGAACGACTGGTTCGGTTGTCTGGTCTTCTTCAGTGTTGGTTTCTTCTTCGGCAGTAGGTCGGACAATCTCGATTATTTCATCTTCTGTCATGGCTTCCTCACATGGCAGGTTTGCGTCATATTCTATGAATTCACTGACAGGTGCGGGTACATCTGGATATAGCTTGTCAAGAGTTTCCTGTAAATCTCGGACGTCTTCAGTCGGTTCATTATCGGGCTCAATCTGGCTGTCGGTAGGTGGCAGGATTTTCGTATGACGCCAGCAGTTGATGATTGTCGGTTGCTTCACATCTCTCCACGCTGATCGGATAAACAGTAGGGCTTGCTTGATGTCAAGTCAAGCAGCCAGCAAGGCACGCGCTAATCACCTTTCATGTGTGATGTTTGTATACGGTCGGATCATCCGACCGGCTGTTGATTCGGATCAACGAATGTTTTTACAATGTATTTACAATGATCAGTTGCTAGATTAGTGTGTCGGAGTCGGAATGCGAGAATGTCGGATTAACGAGAGTAATTATCACTGTTTTAAATGGTTCCCAAAGTTTTTGTCGGCTTAACGTGATTGTCGGATTAATGAGTGTCGGATTAACGAGAGCCGACTGTACTTGTATTTCTTTTATCGAGTTATCGATCTTGGATAGTTAAGACAATCAATAACCGAGTTTTGACAGACGATAGGCACATTGAAATCACTGCATTTTGAACATTTTGACATCCATTTGAAGAAATCTAAAAGAATGTCTAGTTATCATATAATAATAGGCCTGTAGAGATGTAGCGATTGCCTCACCATTCATTGGCGCCCAAAGTATCGAGGCACGCTTGCAGTTAGTAATGACAGATTAACACTATAATGTTAATAAATAAGAGAGATATATTGACACTGATGTAAATAATTTAACACTGATGTTAATAATATTACGTAAGTCGTACTTGTATGCAAATAGTATTATTTGTATGTGTATGCAAGAAATACGACATCTTATTCCATTTAGCTTAATATTATTTCAATTAGATTAGTTAGAGGGGTAATAATTTTAGACCAACTTTCCAGCTGTGCAGTAAATTTAACCAAAATCTGAGGTGAGATTAGTTGAAACAGATTATTTTTTTAATATTTCGAACACACTACCATATCTGATCTTATACACATTTTCATTAACAACTAGATCTGTCGTACTCATCGCTGTGCATTGACATTGTGTAAAGACGTACATAGGCTACTACACATTAACGCCTGTGTTATATTATTAACATTAAGGTGTTGGCAAATCCACACCTGTGTTTCCGTATAAACAGAGGTGTTACATATTTAACATATTAATGCGTTAATGCCTAACATTTACGGTGTGTGTACTCAAACTTTCATCAATGAAGACCTATTTGTTTTGGACATATGCTCCGGACAAAAACTGACTTCAGACAGGCGGATGGATGGGCCGATTGCTAGATCCTCCCCATACTATAATACGGGGGAATAATGATACACAGGCTGTGTTACGCAGTGTTCTATAAAGTAAACTCTCAACACTGTGATTAATCTATTTTCACTTTAATTCTATTTTTGTTTTGCTCAAATGTATTCAGTTGGTACATTGTTCACAACAATATAGTCAATAGGCGTTGCAGAATGCAGCCTATCAACTGGCAAATTATAAATCAAATATAACGATAGGCCATCGAATATACGACCGCTCTGTCCGAAGTTCTAACAACTCTGTTCAAATCTGTTATCGGAGAAACCTGGTGCAAGTTCAATGCCATGTGTTTCATGCAGTGAAAACTTCCTCGAAGTAAATAGTGTTAGTGCGAATGTTCTTATTTCAGACACATAAACGGATGTGAATGTTCTACGTTTACAAACACAGTTCTCCTGAACAGACTGTATCTTTAATATTTATGTAAAATCTAATAAGAGTAATAATATTCGCACTGTAGATTGCAAACAGCAGCAAAGTATTTTAATAGTTTTATTTAACTTTCCGAACTGCAACAATAAAGTTACAATAGACCTCTTTACAGCTGTAATAATCAAAGCAATGAGCTGTACCGGTACTCACCATTTCTCTTCTTCTTCAAAGACCTTTTTCACCTGTTCCTGGACATAAAAATACAGAGATCTTTGCCAATAAGTTTGCCCTCCTCTTATTCCCTTCAGATGTACATGTAAACTACTGAAGTTCGTTTTGAACCACCCGAGGTGTTGCACTAACATCCTGGAGACCATGACATTCATTCGCTGCCTTACTTCATTGAATTGTTCTTTTGATAGAATAAACGATTCAACGGAAATGTCACCTGCCGATATTGTGTCTGGTCCTGTGATGTCAAGGTGAGTACTGGGTTCTCGGTTTACACTCATGTAGGCCAAAGCAAAGTTGATTTCAGGAATCTGCAGCAGGATGTCTCGTAACCTTTTTCCCGACATTGTCCCAGCAAAAAGTGAACCCCGGGTGGAGTGACTCTGAAGTAGCTTGAGGTGTTGCAGGAGATTGTTCACCTCCGATATCCATAACAGACGTGCCATCCATGACTTCAGTGTCAGCATCTACATCTTCGTCTCCCTAACATTAACATCCTCATCGTCAGGATCCTCTTCTTCCGGATCTTCCAGTGATTCAAGTTCAGCCTCACTCTCGTCTGAAACAATGTCTTTGCCATCATTGTCAGCAGAGTTCACCTCCTGTTCTATGTTCTTGCTTGCCGACATAGCAAGGGTGAGTTCTCTGTTATCTTCTGCATTGTCGACAGGGAGAGGGTTGGCATCTTCATTGAGCTGTCGTTCGAGTTCCTCTTTACATTTCTTTGCTGCAGAATCAAATTCTGCTCGGAGCTGGTCAATAGCTGACAGAGTCCCCTTATTACTGAGACACAAACCCAGAGCTGGATTGAGTAGACAGTCTGGAGGAAACTGTCTTTGTGGCAGGTGAGAATAACAACCCAGCTAATGCAGTTCCAACGAAGGGTTTTAAGTTCACTACCCTTTCAGTTCCTCTTGATAACGAATCCTCGCCTAAAGATGTGGTGGCGATGGCTTTCAGCGAGTTTTCTATCATAGGTGTGTAGCCAGGTGTGGTGTGTAATGTCCAGCCACGGGGCTGCAAACTTTGTCTCCCATGAAAATTCTTCAATAGAAGGCAAAGTTACGGAACTTGTAACGGGAAAGTCACTCTTCAATAACTGCCTCACTTCCTTCCTGATGAGAGATTTCACAAACTTATAACACTGTTGCTTACATCTGGGAGTGGCATTGTACAGTCCAGAAATAGCCTTCCGATATTTTCAATTCTGAATGTGAGAGATGACTGATTCCCATTTGGCACCCAGGGATCTTAGTTGGTCCTTTACTGAACAAGATCTTTTGTGCGCCAGCAGTTGGCTTCTGAAATTAAAGGATGATATGACTGTACTATAATCCCATAGTTAGGGGTGTGTGAGGGAGTGAGTTTAGTTTGATGGCGCACTCAGCAATATTCCAGCTATATGGCGGCGGTCTGGAAATAATCGAGTCTGGACCAGACAATCCAGTGATCAACAGCATGAGCATCAATCTGCGCAATTGGGAACCGATGACGTGTCAACCAAACAGCCTGACCCGATCCCGTTAGTCGCCTCTTACGACAAGTATGTGTTACTGAAGGTTCATTCTAACCTGGACCTTTACGGGTCTAGGGGTGTAAGAAGTATGAATTGTATTCATAACTAAATTTCCGTTTTAATATATGATGCTTTGAAAGAATTTGTAAGAAGTATGTGATATGTAATACTGTATTGCGCAACCTATGCTGACTACCAAGTGATTTATTGTTCATAATGATGAAATTAACCATTCTTTCTCCATTAACCATTGAATCTGACTCAATTAATCACAGTACCAAAAAGGAAGCAACGGTGTTATTGAATAGGATCAAGGTTTATCATATTTGACTACATTATAATTTCCCCTATACATTACAGACTTTCATTCCCGATAGTCTTCATAAAGTACTAGAAGTTTTCAATTTACAAATTACTTGTTAAAACTGTTAAAGATAAGAGCAGGCCCTGTTAGTAAAGTTAGGAGTAAATATGTAATCACCACTGTGAGATTTAGTTAAGTATAACTACATACCATACGACAAATTAAAGTAGAGAACATCAATACTGAAGAATTCGCAGCACATGCAATTAATAAATATATAGAGGGGGGGGAGGGGTGAGGGTCCTATTGGGGTTGTCAGAATTGTTGGGGGTCAAGGGTCACTTAAGCTGTTGATGGTGTGTTAGCAGTGAGGGGGAGAAGGGGGAAAGGATGTTTGAAGTAGGGAATGTTGGAACTGACCGTCTGTCAGCGGCCAAAATGCGCAGATCACGTGACCACTGTGTATTGTCAGTTTTACAGACTTTCCCACGTACGACTAATTAATGCAGTGCATGAAAAAAACTTGGAAATAGTCAGTGTGTTACCTTAGAAGCATCGGCGCTTGTACTAGTGCTTGGTAATGGTTCCTTTGCTTGTTCTGTGGGAAGTTTCGTTCCAATATATCCATATAGAGCGGTTAGTCCCAAAAATTGGACAAACTCTGTTTATACTTGTTCACATTGACCAACAGCGCCCAGCACTACGGACATAAGAAAGTAGGACCTCTTGAAGTTTTCACTGGCGTGAATGTAGAATCCGTAAGGGTTATCAAAACTTCTCTCGCCGATCCACAAGATCCAGGTAGAACTAAACTAAATCTTAAGTATCCTTCACCATCGGGTCTTGATTCAAAAAGTGAATCGCAGTTGGCGCAAGCATTATCCAGGTTTAGTCCAAGGATGGATGTCAACGGCATGATGACAGGTTTGACCAGTGTAAGTCTTGGTACACTATCAATTTTAGTGCCAAAGGGGAAAAACTGCAGATAGGCATGCATGTCATGAATGGTCAAAGCGTTCTCGGAGTTCTGCCTACGGGATACGGGAAAACTTTGTGTATTTTGATACCACTTATGACTACCGAGAAAGAAAGCATTACCCTGATAATTTTACCTTTGACATCACTTATGGATGATATGTCAGAAAAAATTAAAGAATGTGGAATTTCAGTTGCCAGTCTTGCACACAGTGGAACAATCTGTTGGAGACGGAGGGAAAAACGGAAAGTTTCAAGTGGTGTTAGCATCTCCCAAGATGGCTCTTAAGAGGGTTTGGAAGGATGTGTTTTTTTGTGATGTTTGGCAAGAATGAATCTTGTTTTTTGGCAATTGATGAAGCTCACTGTATCTCGGATTGGGGTGAGGATTTTCGAACTGATTACAGACTTATTCACGAACTTAGAAGCATACTAGATTGTCTGGTTCTGACATTAACAGCTACTACAACGTCGGACGTTAAGAGTGACATTATGAAGTTTTGCATCTCGAAAGTTGTGTCCAAGAAACATTTTCATTGAAATAAAGACACTAAGCATACGTAATCATACGTAATCACTGAAATGGTTGATAGATCACATTAGAAAAAAGCAATAGCTTGCAAAGAAAACTATTGTGTTTTGCAGAGGGGTGGACACTTTCTCGTCAGTCATTTTCACTCAAATGAAGGGACAGTTAGGCGACGATGCATATGTTTCTGGGACAAAAGATTCAAAACATGAACTCGTTGAAATGTTTCACAAATGTACAGACTGTGAATCAAAAACACGAATTCTGAACGATTTCAGAACAAACAACAACAACATTTGATACCTTGTGGCCACTACCACCCTTGGTATGGGACTGGATATCCCTGATGTGGACGTTGTATTTATGGAAAAGCAGTTAATGTAGCTTTGAGTTGAAAAGTATGTGTACTTAGGACCATTTATATGAAGTGTGTTATATTTAACCAAGTGGATATATTCATTTGTGATGTTGAAGAGTTTGTAAACAGTTGCAGTTATAATTCTGTAAGGAACTTTTATATGCAGTGTACATTTGTTCATGTTTGATGGTTTATTGCTAATGGCGGGTTACATACACGACCTCGACCCTCGTGTGGGTTGATACCAAAGCTGGCATAAGATTAATACGAAATATGCTTAATCTCGTAATAGCCCCTTCTTCATACATGAAGAATTTACCAATTATAGCAATAAACATTAAGAACATGAAACGTTACTAAACCCTTCAATTGGCATGCATTACTGAATTGAAACATGAAATGCATAATTGAAATAAACTAGTTATTGGACAGTAGCTAGATATTTAGAATATCTATTGGCACTTGGGATAATATTGTTGAGCATTTAAAGTCCATAAGTCCATGTTCATGTTTGATAAATCAATAAAAAACTTAATTGAAATAAATTTAAACATATAGGTTTTACACCTTGTATAAACCTATAACTTTAAAGTCTTTGAAGATAAAAAGTTTTAACACTTTTAAGCTGAACATTAGCTTATGAAACACAGTTACTCATAAAGAGTTATTTTGGCACAAAATCTTTTGTGAATCTTGTGGGTGGTTTTACAGTTCTTGTCGAACGACGAACACCTGGGGAACTCAGTTCAGTTGGTGGCTTTTGTTGAACATCTTTAACAGGCGACGCTGGCATAGGAGGTTTGACTATCTCGGGGTTGACTGGTTGATAGTCAGGCTTTCCTCCAGACTCAGTGATTTCCTCACTTGTGTGTTTGAGGAATTTACAATTGCGACGGTACTCTTCCCATCAATACTCACAATGTATGATCTGGGGACACTTGTTGCACACATGTACCTAGTCGCCACTTTCCACCGCGATCTGTTGGAGATGGCTGAACACGCATTTAAGCTTGACCAGTGGTCAATTCAGGTAGTGGTCTAGAACCACCATCATAATAAAGCTTAGATTTCTTAAGCTTATCACACTTTTAGCCACAACATTTTCCACGCTTCGGTTTCAGGAGCTGACTCCGCTATAGGTAGTGTTGCACGAAGTTAGTCGCATGACATCAGACGCTGGACTGGGCTGCTGTCCATTCCTTCTGTTGGTGTGTTTCGCCAGTCCTGAATGGCTTTCCACGGATCATTGCCATTTCTCTTGGATTTTCGTGAGAAGTCTCTTTGCGATCTTGACCGCTGACTCCGCTTCCATTAGATTGACTGTGATAGGGAGATGATGTCACATGCTCAAATTCCCAATCTTTGAGAAGTGTTCGAATTCTGCGGATGCTAGTTGAGAACCATTGTC